TTTTTAAATCTTCATGAATTAATTATTTAATTGTTATATCCAAAAATATATTTCTAATCCTTTAAATTTAACACTATTATTAGTGTCATTTTTGGGCCAAAATAATACTGTTAGTCTCCTTTAAAAAATTGTTAATTCAGCAATTTAAATAATGCCCACTTGTTTGTTTCAATTTTTTTCAAACATATGCAAATGTGAAAAATATACTTTTAAATATGTATTATTTGATTTTTTTTCAATTGATTATTTGATATTAAGATATATGAACATGAAAATATGTTTCTTTCAGATATAATTTTACTTCAAGATATTTAGTTTTACATAGTTTTATTGTAAACTAAAAATTTCTCTCTCGTATGATGCATAAACTAGTATATTTGATTGGATTTATAATTAGACAGTATTTACATTTAATTCAATATATTTAAATCTCAATTAAGATATTATTCAAATATAAAATTAATTATTATTATTTTTCATTTGTGCCTCTAATTGAAATCTCATTTAATTATAATGCTCCACATTTAATTCAATATATTTAAATCTCGATCAAGATAATATTCAAATCTAATTAATTTAATATATTCAAATTACACTTTGTTATACCCGACTCATTTTTAAATAAATCAGATATTACAAGATTTGAAGAATATAGTTAGTTGATAGTTGATAATTAACGATTGACGGTTGATGGTTGATGATTGATGATGATGGTATGAGATATAATAGATCAGAATATGAGAATATTTTTGTTAGTGTGATATTTACCAAATTTCTTTTCTTCATATCTTTTCACATTGCTCTAAACAAGTGATAACATACCTTTCCATCTTTCCTTTTTTTTTTTAAAAAAAAAAAACCTTCTGTATACCCACATCACCCCTTTTATACACCCACACATATATATAGAAATTCCATACCCTTATCTTCTTTATATAGAAATTGCATACCCTTATCTTCTTTCACACAACTCGCCATCATCTCACCGTCGCCCACACTGATCGTCTTCCCCATAGCCCAGGTCTTGCATCATCTTCATCCGGAGAAGGGAGGTAAGATTTTACTCTTCTGTTCCCACTTAGAATTAGAATTGGTCAAGGTGTCATTTTGATTAGATAGGTAGACGCTATATTTAAATGCAGGTAGAGTCATATACACAATGAAAGCAAATTATCTACCAAATCGTGAAGTTAATGGGATTAGTGCCACGTTACGTAATTACTAATTTTCTCCACTTACAGATCGAAATTCATAGCACATTGCAGCTAGGTAGAGTCATATATATACATATATAGAAAAATGAAAGCAAAAGGCAAAGATTTGTTGAGCGATTTACCAGATGACATTCTTCACCACATCTTCTCCTTCCTGGGAGACAACAACGTAGTAAGACTTCAAGCCTTGTCTAGAAGGTTCCAGAACATTTGCTTCACCAGCCCTTCTCTCTGCTTATCCTGTCATCGTGATCCTCACAACTGCTCATGCAAACCTATCTCCAATTTCACCAACTCTCTCCTCCAACATCGGCCTCGTGCTTTGAAAATTGAGAGACTCTCTTTCTCATCATCCTGCTTCGAACCCAGACACCGGAAGCTTCACAAGCGTTGGATCCATAAATTGTCCCAGGCTTTCCTTGTGGATGAACTCTCTGTTATTGACAGACTACCCTCCGTTCTCAAAATCCTTCCCAGATTTCAGTCCTTGAAAGTTCTGAAACTACATATGATTCGTCCCGTCTCAGTGAAGCTTCCTGAGGTAAAACTTGCATCTCTTGAGACCCTTCATATGAGCCGCATGATAACTAATGATCCAATGGGCGAGTGGGTTTCTGAGAGTTTCCCATTCTTGAAACATTTGCTCCTCGATCGAATCTTCCTGGAGAGCGATTTCAGGGAGACAAACCGACAGGGCATCACAATACGAAGCTCGTGTTTGGAGGATTTAGACATTCGCTATTGCTGCCCTTACAGGACTGTGAGGGTCATCACAGACAACCTGCGAGGCTTTAGTTACACCATATGTCCATTTGGTTACATCTGCGGACATCTTGTTTATGACTATGAGCATTCGCTTGAGATCTCCGCACCTATTCTAGAAACCTTAACCATAGCTGGTTTCCCGCAAAAGCTTCATTGTGAAGGAACCTTCAACAATTTGAATCTCGCTGCTCTCACTACCGGACGACGGCTCCACTATTCAAGAAACCTCAGTACCTTCATGCAATTAAATGAAGCTCTACGCTGGGCCACAACACTGCATACAGATGTGCGTGTGCTTGAGGTCAGTTCACGAATCTATTTTATACTCCTCCGGTCCTAATTATAAGACCCAATTGACTTATTTGAGAAAATTAAGGAAGTACGTTAAGTTGGTTATTTATAATAAATAAGTGTTGTCATTCCTAAAATATCCTTGCTAATTAAGTATATTGGCTAAAACTATCATTATTAGAAGGATTATCTTGGAAAAAAATGCATAAATATAAGAGACAAAATGGATTGGGTCTTATAATTAGGACCAAATAAAAAGTCAAATTGGGTCTTATAATAAGGACCGGAGGAGTACTTTACACTCTCTTCTATACTATACAAATATACAATTGGATTTAAAAGAAAGATTAATAAATATTACTTCCTCTGTTCATCATTATAAGGCGCTTTTAATTAATCTCATGCAGACCTAGAAAAACTGTTTCTGTTAGTTAATGTCCTGATTTGAGCTCTGTTTTTTTTTATTATTTGAATTTTGCTTTGCAGGGTCTACATATAATTAGGGAGGCACCTATTTCATTTGGAAACGTTGTTCACCTCCGAGTACAGATGCTAAAGCTCTATAGTGATGATTATGATACGGGGGAGGTGGTAATTACTTTTTTGGAAAGAGTGCCAAATTTAAAAAGTCTTACCCTCGTGAATGACAGTCCAGGCAATTCTAAGGAGGTATGTATGTATATTGATTTGGCCATTTAGTTTATTTTAATAAATTGTCTTATGTAAAAAAATAAAATTGATTTGGCCGTTATACATATATATATAATGCAAACCTAACAATCTTGGGTGTATCTTTTTCATGTGAATCCTAATTTGTTTAAAAAATTTTCAGGCACATAGGTTTGACAAGAACATAGGAAGAGATTGTAGGCTGGATGGATGGAGGGAAATAAAGGGATTGAAGAAAGTAGAGTTCATAATAAGAGAGATGGACGAACAGGTGGCTTTTCTAATAGGGATGTTGAAGGAATGGTGTGTAGACTTAAAGGAGATGATACTCAATTACCCACCTTGTCATCACGAGTCCATACTCCCTTATTTGAAGAGTTTTGAGATGGCTTCTAATTATGCATCACTCTCAATTAATTTTCTTCCTGATCATTAGGATAGCAAGACGATATGTCACTTTGTTTTCTTCAAATTATCAATTTTTTCTTTATTATTATTATTTAAACTTTTGCTAAAGGACCTATGTTGAGCTTGAGCAAATATTATATATTTCTTAACTTTCTTTTTCTCTTTCAAGTAAATGACAAAATAAAAGACACTCCCTCCATTTCTTTTTATATGATATAATTAAACTAAATTACGTTAATCAAAATTGGTTAAAGATAATCATAAATGATACTCAAGGGGTGGGGTGATCCTCGCATGGCTTGGAGTCCGATACTGATATTTGTCTCTCACGACCTTCACCCAAAAAAACATGCTGGTTCTTAACTATCGTCCACGTCCACCGAAGCTTCATTAAGAGTGAATAATTTTTTAATGAAACCAGTTTCAGTATTCATTATAATGATGAGCACCATAATTTATATTTCACCACAATGATGAGTAATATGGGAAGATTTATTTGTTTATATAAATTGCATATAAATTCAATTGAAAAAAAAACTTCGTCTCTCATATTTTAATAAAATTTCGTTTTCCCCACTAAAAGATTTATTTGTTGCTATGCATTTTAAAGAATATAATTTCTCGTATATAAGAATTCTCTTGACTATTCTTTTGTTTCCTGCTCTTCATTCAAATAGTTCAGAATTTGTTTTTAAAGCACGGTTTTGGCCCTGGTTTTCACTATTATGCATGTGTTTTCCTCAACAATCTTATTAAGCACTAATGCTCTCTTCGGATGGAAAGAAAAGTTGGAAGTAAAGAAAACAAGATGAGAGAAAATAGAGAAAAGAAAAAACCAGAGAGAGTAGTTCGTGACTTTTTTATTAGATAATTTGTTAATCGATTAATTGGTGCGGTGAAATTAACTCTTGATGTTATCCTATTTTTGGAACTTGGATTATTAAAATTTAAACTTCAATTTGTATTATTTTGAACCAAAAATCAACTAATTCATTAGTTGATTAATTGGGGGAGTGAGGAAGCAGCAATGAGCGAGAGAGGAGCAAGGAAACAAGCGAGCAGGAGATGTCGATCAAGTGAGACTAGAGAATTAATGGACTATGAACATAGAAGGACGAATCTTCAAACCGCCGAGTAAAGAAAAGTGTTCAGTCGAGAAAAAAGTTCATGCCCGATTTTTTGAAAGAAGGAATTAGGAAGTTCAGAACAAAAAATTAATAAACATCTAAAAGTTGTTTTCTGTTTCTAGTTTTGCAAAACAAATTTCTATTTTTTTAAAAAAAACAGTAAACTAAAAATAAGTTGCCAAACAAGATTTTTTTTTGTTTTTGAAAAATAAAAAGTTGTTTTCAAAACAGGTAAACAAACAAACCCTAAACCTTTGCATAACATAAAGGAGCACCTGCTCTTGAATTTGAAAGCCATCAATACTAATACCATCTTCTTTAGTGGCCTAAGCAAGAAAATCATTGGGTTACAACAAAAAGTCAAACAATGTTGATTGAATCAGACACATTTGGCAAAGGCACCACGGTAAGCCCGTAACGTTAAGACTTTATTGAGAATTTAAAAAATGCTTTAAATAATCTGAAAAGTGAATATAGAATTGATTTTATATGTTCCAGGAAAATTTTATACTGCTAGGGAAAAACATGCAAGCTGAATATTGACTGATTGAACTACCTTCAATTAAATTCTCAAGTAACATGTACAACGATCCTCCCCTGGAATCGAACTAAGAAAATCAAAGCAGAGGAAGAGAGGAAATGAAAAGAACCTGATGACCACCACTAAGCAAAACTATGATCATTTCAAAATCATACTTGAAAAGGTTGAAGTGTGCAGCAAGCTATAAACAACATTGAGAAAAAGTAATTGAAGTACCTCAAGATTCTTGGAATGCAGAACTTTAGTATTAATAATATTAATAACAAGAATTTGTTATAAAAAAAATAATACAAAAAATACATAAGTATTGAATTGATAAAATCAAGTATCTTAAGCATGTAAGGCTAAGCATACCATTTTTTTAATAGTGAAATGACGTTCCGAGACAGTTTAACAATTTTAGAATAATAATTACCTTAGGTTTAACAATTTTAGATTCCTGTGCAAATGGACAAATGCCAAACGGGAAGAAAAAAAACCGTGATAATGTTTTCTCTCACATACTTTTCTTTATCTATATTTGTGACTTGAAATATTTTATGTAGTACTCACAATTCCACACTCTTTATCACTAAAGTTTTTCAGGCTATCGTCCAAAAATAAATTGTTAGGACTATTTTTTTTATTAAAAAAAGATAATTAATCTCTGGGTCCTTATAGTTTCATCTAATTTTTAATCATGTTCCTATAAAATTTTTGTTCTTTTAATCAAATCCTTTTATTTTTATGTGTTTTTAATTAGGCCTCTTTATTTTTTTTTATTAGGTTCTTATAATTTCACCTATTTTTAAATAAGGTCCTTTGTAGTTTTAAAAAAAATTATTTATTAACGTTATTCTTTAAAATTAATCTCACTTTTAAATTAATAATTATATAATTGGACAAAAAAATTAATATAATCATTTAGTAATTACTAATTAATCATAATAATCAATTATACTTAACAATAAATTATTTATAATTATATTCTAATTTTAGAAAATTTTATTATTATAATTTGAATTTTATAAATACAAAAATTATAATTGAAAAATCAATAATATATGTGTTTAACTAAAAATTTAAAAGAATATTAACATAAGATTATTATAATAATTTATTATTTATAGAATATTATTATTCATAGAATAAAAAATAAAAACTATAAGTCTTTAATTAAAAATAAGGTAAAATAATAAGGATCTGATAAAAAAAATTATAGGGATCTAATTAAAAACCATTTAAAACTACAATGATTTGTATATTAATTATCCCTATTAAAAATTTCAAAGTCTTTATAGAGTTGTCTTTAAAATTTTTTTTTTAAAAAAAAGGACGAGAAAGCCGGATGAAAATCACATGGCACGATTTCTTGCTTACAATTTAGAAACTAGTTTGAAAAGAGGAATTTGACACATCTTGGCCATAATTATTATTGTAATCAAAGTCTAATTAATCTTAATCATTCACGCAATCTATTATTATCATTATCATGGTTTATCTAAATTTTAACACGAACTCACAGCTATAATGAACTTGTGCTTGAGCGTACCCAAGTTTTAACTTCCAAAACTAAAGAGAACATGCAATTCAGTTTTGTTCTCTTCACAATATTTCGACCACTCGGCCTAAATAACACAAGACTCCTAGACTTGGCACTTCTCTATCCAACTTCTGAACTTCTTCCCTTTAATTTCTTATGAATCATCTTCAATTGATTTGGAACTCCCAACATGTAATTACAAGTTACTAATTTTGTCGACATTCCTAACGACTTGGATATTCTATAGTATTAGTATTATTTATTTTTAATTAGTAGGGCATACATTACATAATCACTTAAGTTATAAGCAGGATTGAATCCGAATCTTTCTACTTATATATGAGAGTTTTCATACCATTAGATATTGACAATAAATTAATTTATTATCCTTTTGGAAGTTACTCTCTCATGTACAAAATATAGGAGCTAATTGAGAGTTTTGCCTTGATCATAAATAAATCATAATCTACTTTATCTTTCAAATTTATAACCTTTTTAAATTATTCTTATTAACTGCATGTATCAAAGAACAATTTTCATATATGACCAATTTTCATTGCAAATGTTTAATATATCTTAAGGAATCCAACATATTTTTTTTTTACAAATAACTAATTTAGTTAATTTTTAAATCTTCATAAATTAATTATTTAATTGTTATGTTTAAAAATATATTTTTAATCCTTTAAATTTAACATTATTATTAGTATCATTTTATGGCCAAAAAAATACTGTTAGTCTCGTTTAAAAAAGTATTAATTAAGCAAATTTAAATAATGCCCTTGTTTGTTTCAACTTTTTTTCAAACATATGCACATGTGAAAAATATATTTTTAAATATATATTATTTGACTTTTTTTTCAATTGATTATTTGGGATTAAGATATGTGAATATGAAAATATGTTTCTTTAAGATGTATTTTTACTTCAAAATATTTAGTTTTACATAGTTTTATTGTAAACTAGAAATTCTCCCCCACAGGATGCATGGACTAGTATGTTTGATTAGATTTATAATTAGACAATACTTATGTTTGATTTAATATACTCAAATCCCAATTACAATATTATTCAAATCCAAAATTAATTATTAATTTTTTTATTTGAACCTCTGCTTGAAATCTCATTTAATTATAATACTTTCTATTTAATTTAATATATTTAAATCTCAATTAAGATAATATTCAAATCTCATTAATTTAATATATTCAAATTGCACTTTGTTGTATGTGACTCATTTTTAAACCAATAAGATATTATAAGATTTGAAGAATATAGTTAATTAACATTATTAGTATCATTTTTCGGCCAAAAATTACTGTTAGTCTCGTTTAAAAAATTATTCATTCAGCAAATTTAAATAATTATTTGATATTAAGATATATGAATATGAAAATATGTTTCTTTCAGATACAATTTTACTTCAAAATATTTAGTTTTACATAGTTTTTATTGTAAACTAAAAATTTCTCCCCCCATATGCATGGAGTAGTATATTTGATTAGATTTGTAATTAGACAATACTTGTATTTAATTTAATATATTCAAATCTCAATTAAGATATTATTCAAATCCAAAATCAATTATTAATTTTTTTATTTAGGCTCCTAATTGAAATCTCATTTAATTATAATACTTCTCATTTAATTTAATATATTTAAACCTTAATTAAGATAATATTCAGATCTCATTAATTTAATATAATATTGCACTATTATATCCAATTTATTTTTAAACTAATTGGGTATTACAAGATTTGAAGAATATAGTTAGTTGACAGTTAATAGTTAATAATTGATGGTTGATAATTGATGATAATGGTATGAGATACAATAAATCAGAATATGAGAATATTTTTGTTAGTGTGATATTTACCAAATTTCTTTTCTTCAAATCTTTTCACAGTGCTCTAAACAAGTGATAACATATCTTTCCATCTTTCTCTTCTTTTGGAAAAAAAAAAAAAACTGCATATACCCACATCACCCATGTTACACACACACATATATATATAGAAAGTGCATACCCTTATCCTCTTTCACACAACTCGCCGTCATCTCACCGTCGCCCATAGCCCAGGTCTTGCATCATCTTCATCCGGAGAAGGGAGGTAAGATTTTATTCTTTTGTACCCACTTACAATTGATCAAGTTCTCAATTTGATTAGATAGGTAGACGCTATATTTAAATGCAGGTAGAGTCATATACAATGAAAGCAAATTATCTACCAAATCGGGAAATTAATTGGATTAGTGCCAGGTCACGTAATTACTAATTTTCTTCACTTGCAGATCGAAACTCATACATTGCAGCTAGGTAGAGTCACATATATACATATATAGAAGAATGAAAGCAAAAGGCAAAGATTTGTTGAGCGATTTACCAGATGACATTCTTCACCACATCTTCACTATCAAAGTATTCAATTCAAGAACGGAACAAAAGTCTAAGGTCAATCAGAATTGTTGAAAACATCCAATACAAAACCCAATTCTTGAAAATATCCAATACAAAACCCAATTCCAAAAACATTTCAGACTTGACAAGCAGCAAGATACTGAACTGACCAACTTCCATATCGATTCTACTGGAAAACCTCTTCCTGCATCTTGCAGGTGAATGGGCGCAATGCTGGTGATGATGGAAGAAACAGGAATGTCACAATCAAAAGTATAAGTCTCACATGCTTCAATAGAATTGGACTGAAGCAAATAAAACCCCTTTCTATTCTTCCCCACTATTTCTTCTTTCTCGGGCATCCTCTTCTTTCCCTCCGCTTCTTCCTATGCACATGGAAGAAAAGTCTACTAAGAAAAAGAAAATTATAAGAAGAAGAATAATAATAATCAAACAAATACAAAAACCGAACTTTTGGAGGGTCGGGCTTCCTCCTCTTCTTGCTGTCCATTTCTGGCTTGGACAGCTGCTGCTTCTTCTCGACCCTCTTCTCAATATCCTCTTTACTGAGGATCAAATTATGATTGATCGAGACTTTGTCCGAAACAATGATAGGCGAATCACGCCTCTCCACAAGCTCAAGAAAGCAAGATTCTACGGATCTGCTTTCCTTATACCCGCAACTAAATTGAATTAATGATACAGTGTCATAAAGCTTCCGAGTTTCTCATGAAGGACCCATTACTAACTTTAAAAAAAAAAACTTACTCATAACAATCCAATTCCAAAAACACCACCCAGCTTTCGTTGGGATAGCTCCCGCTCCACAATAGCAATTTATTATGGGTGCATCTGCAAAAAGAGGGTAATATTAAAACCTGAAATTTTAAAAATAATTATTAAAAAAAAAGTATGTTTACTTGGTGAATGCAGGGGTGCAGTCCTCAAAAGCACGAGTCAGATACTCAATTATTTTTTGTTTTGAATTGCTCCCTTCAGTGACTAGTCTGTGGACAGCGTCTGCATCCAGTAAGACAACGTTCTTAACTGTGTTGGCCATTTTCTAAGATACCTACAAATTAAAGAAACAAAAGAAATGCAATCACATAAAGTGCAATAATTCTAACATAACGTATCATAGGATTTGGGAAGGAATGAAATGAAAAGAGTGAGTGATTTTCTAGTGTGATTGTCTTAGTTAGTAATCAAAGGCATTTTAACATTTAACAAGATTCTCGCTCGCAGAAAGTTTCTAACCAATCTACCTTTCTTCACGGGATTTTCAATCATAGAAACATCACCAATATGAGAGCCCAAATGAATAGCATTTTCACGATTCATGAACATAAAGGGTAATCCATGAAACTGAATCCAGAAAGGAGTCCTATCAAACTGTACTTCCCTAACCAACACTTCATCATCCCACAATTGAAGATTTAACAGATAAGATTGAATAGCCCAAAGACGACCATTCAGAATCTTCATGCAGTCTTTGCGATTAGCAAACTGGAAAACAAAGGTGTTCTTCTCGACGTCTACAATTTCTATTTCGCCAGCTAGATTCCAACCCTTCTAAACCATAGAGACTACAGTGCCCCTGTTTAGTTCTTTTGAAACCTCCAAGCATCAGATAAGAGCACCGCCTGACAAAGATCGATGGATTCGCTCCAAGATACGGTCCTAGATAATCACCTTTCGGGAGCCGGAATGGCTCCCTTGTCCACCATCCATCAGATAAACCTTTTCTTGATGTATTAGGATTTAGGGTTTAATTTTTCTAACTCTTAATTTTTTGTCATGGTATCAGAACCCTCTTTTTAAATTCTACAGTAGTACCTCTTGATGGTTGTAGTTGCAAAAAATTTTAGTTAGAGCAACATTTTAATTAATTTTCTAACTCTTTTTTTAAGTCACGGTATCAGAAGCCTCTTTTTTTTTACTCTTTGGGCCTAAAGTATTACTCGTATTAATACACCTCAAGAAGCACATAAAAGCTTTCTTCAACATGGGTTTGCCTCCTTAATGCCTCATCAAGAGCTCACCTACAAAAGGAATAACATTAAACTTAAAAACATAAATATATTTATATATATAAATCACTAAAAAAATATTTTCTTACTTTGTCAGGACATGAGTACTTATTGATTGTGAATTCAAACAAGCCTTAAGACCATAATTTTAGAAATTGGATTGATCATTTTAAAAATTAACCTATAAATTACAAACAGTTCGGTACTTAATAAAGACTCAAATATAAATATACCTGTTGATACCTGGAGTTACTAGAACAAAATTACTTTAAAAATTAGTTTAAGGTTGTAATTATTATTGAGAAAATACATGGACATCATACATAATTGTAATACAATAAAAATTTGAGCAAAACCTAAAGAATTTCAAGATTGAGCAAAATTATGATACACAACTCAAATCTGGTGACTAATGATGCCTCATAATTAATATTGCATAGAAAAATCTGCTGCAAATTCCTAGTCACAAACAAAATTCAACTTGTCAGGTTTTGAAAATGTGGCACACAACTCAAATTTGGTGACTAATGACACCTCATAATTAATATTGCACAGAAAACTTTGCAATAAATTTCAAGTCGCATACAGAATTTTCAGCAAAGATGCACCTGAGTCAGTTCTAGATGTGGGAAAATTTCAAAATCAGACCAATGAAATTAAATTTTCAATGCAAAGGAGCACCAAGACCTAATATTTGAATGGGCACCGCTTAACCTATGCGAAAAAAAAACAAAATCCCAAAGTAGTTAGGATGATAGAGAAAATGTTTGAAATATAACTTGAAGAAACAAGAACATTGAGAGAGAATTTGAATATTATAAAAAAAATCACGTGATTAAAATCATCTCTCATTGAGTGTACGACACTTGAATTTAATCCACTAAATTTAAATATTGAAATTTTAATTTTATGGTTTTAAAAAAGTTCCCTGTTTATTAAAACAGATTGGAATTTCATTTTTTATTTATCATATTGATACTTGAAATATATGTGTAAGTTTTAAAGTTCATGTGTTGATTTTGTAATTTTTGTGCTGAAGTTGACTTTGTAATTAATTCCTATTAAACTTCAATTTAATTTAGAAGAAATATTATAACTTTTTTAAAAGAAATATCTGTTTTGGTTCTGTAATTTAAAAATATTGTAAAGATATACAATGATTATAATTCAAGTATATCTGTCCCCCAACACTACTCACACACACAACAATTCAAAAATATATGTTTTAAAGTAAATATCTATCAATAATAAGTAATCCGTTTGATGTCTTTAACAAGTTCATTCAACTAGTTGAAGATCCAACATGTATATGCCACTTTTTGAGTTCGTAATCATATGACCATTTGAATTCGCCATAATTATCATGCCATAGTGATACCACACTTACATTAGATTCAAAACCTATCTTAAAAGAGGTAAAATTATATACACATATATATAGGCACACAATACACACACATATATATATTGTATTAGAAGAATTTTTTCTATTCTTTAGGTTCATGGGTTTAGCAATTAAAGGGTCGAACAAGCTCACTAAAAGAAATGGCTTTGATTCTAGAAAATGTGTGATCATTAAAACTAATAAAAAATTAGAGGCCTCATTATGAAAAATTAGTTCATGAAAAATTGGAATTCAAGGGGAAATGCAAAATTGGAAGAAAGTGGTCGAACTGAGGAAACTGGTGCAGAGAAAAAGAATGATCCACGAGGGTAGGTTTTTGTTGTAATGGTCTGGGCCCTTATTTTTAGCACCCCCAAAAGAAAACTGATAATGCTTTCTCTCCCATATTTTTCTGTGTTTATATTTGCAGCTTTAAATATTTTATTCAGTGCTTGCAATTTCTGAATTTCACACTCTTTATCACTAAAGTTTTTCAGAATATTGTCCAAAAATAAATTTTCAGGACGACTGAAAAAATGGAAGCAGCGTGGATAGAGGAAGAGAATTCAAATAGAAACTAGTCAGAAAAGACAGATCTGACGCATCTCAGCCATAAGTATTATTGTAATCAAAGTCTAATTAAGCTTCATCATTCACGCAGCCTATAATTATTGTTATCATTATCACAATTTACTTAAATTTTAAAACAAACTCACAATTATAATTTTTTTCCCTATGCACAGGTATGCTCTTGATAAAAGCAATCTTATTTGAGACGTTACCAGACATTAAATACAAGCATCTTTTTTAATGAGGATTTGAATTTTGGCTCACTATAATATTTTTATAAGGAACTAACTTTATGGAGGGAAATCATTGGGGTCCTTTTGGTTCAAATGTCTTAGAATTGTGGGAAGGAAATAGGTTTTCTACTTCTTTTTTTTTTTTTGAAAAAAAGAAAAGAAAAGGAAGAATAGATCAGCTACATCTGTTTGTCATTTGCCTATGAAAGAACTTAGTTATAGATAGTTATAGATATCAACCCTTGGTCAGCATTGGTGAATAAGGAAGATGGATATAAACTCAAGAAAAAATAGCAAAAAGAGACTGCTGAAATAAAAAAATTACATACAGGGACCGATTCATAAAAATTATTGTCAAAACCTATACTAATATTGTCATGGGTCTTTATTTACAATTTTTTTTATTTCGGCAGTCTTTTTTTACCATTTTTCCTAAAATCAATTAAAGAAGCGTACATAATGTATGAATATAATATAGGCTTATATTCGTGGAATAAGCAGACATTATAATCGTAAATTATATTGACTTTTTTTTTTAACAATTGACTCACTTGTTATCAAAAATTTGAACTCACAACTTTATATTTAAAAGAATTTAAAATAAAGTGTTTAACGTCATTTGAATATAAGATTCTCAATTACATTAATCCTAACATAAAATTAAGTATTTAAAATATACTCATCACGCCTTTCCCTCCATGAGTGGGAGGAACAACTTTCTGAAGAATTGATATCCCCTAAATAACCTCAACCTCGAGCCAGCACACAGCATTGTTTGGCTTAAAATATTTGGGGGTGAGTTTTTTTTTAATTTTTTGGTATTTACGCCTGCTCTGTCGGGTATTTTTAATATTAATAAAAGGAGAATTTCTAGGCGGGTAATGCGGCTTATGTGGGCCAGGCAGTGGGGGTCAGATGATCATGACATTAAAATGAAAAGAAAAATTAAAATTGCCATTATAAACCGGTATGCAACACGTCGTGCAATGAATGATGATGAAGATGAACCGTTTGAATACAAACATACATATACATACATATATATATATGTGTGTGTGTGTGTTACGTAGTGCCTGAGATCACAAGAAATCTCTCCACGTGGAGCCAGCTCAATTATATTGAGCCGAAGAATATCACACCATTTTGCATTCCTCATATGATAAACATTTTGCTCGTTCCGTTTTCCGTTTGTGCCCCACCAATCAATCCGCCTCATTTTAATTTGTGCCGTGAATTCTTTGAACTTATATTTATGGGGCCACATAGAGATAAAAAACAATAATGACCACGTAAAATGTGTTTTTACTATTAGAGCTAACACGTCAAAAGAGTCATTGATTCTCATATTATTTTTTTTCCTTTGACTTTACAAGCCCTAGGGTTTATTACGGTTTAATTAATGGCAGAGTCATCTTAAACTTTCACTCGCTACCTAGCTAAGATAACATGTTTAATAAGACTCTATCGTGAAATATTATTATAAACCATACTCACTCATGTCCTTGACACAAAAAAGTTAGACACGGACAAATCATGTGTAGATTTTTTTGGGGTCTGAACAAAATCAAACTCGTTATATTCATTCTGTCGAGATATTCAATCACACTTTGTTATGTGCTCCATATGAAAAATTAAAATATAAAAATAAGATCATATGTAGTTAGAGATTTTAATATAACACACGTAAGTAACCTAATCTAATAAATACTCCATTTATCTATTTTTAGAAGAAACAAGTAGCCAAATCATACAGATCAAAAAGTTGGTAAAATTTTGTTAAACGAGATAAATATATAAATATTATAAGTTTTTTTAAAAATACCCTTATTTATTAAAAAAATATATAACAATTATTAAAATAAAAAATATTTGTATACATATATTGAAAAATATAGAAAGAAGTGTATGGATCTTAGCAAAAAAAATGTGTATTAAAAATTTCAAAATACAGAACCGTACCAATAAATCAGTCATGCCTAACAAATAGCATGTCTCCACACCCCTATGACCTACGCATATTTTATATTTTCATCATGTAAATCCTCAATCTCCACAAGCAAATGTCTGTTTAAAGAATTTCACGCACACATGACACGTCTCCACAGCAGCACACCACCACTTTTCCTGCTGCATACTTAACAAAATCAGACAGAAAACACATTCCAAGCAGATCGAAGGGTATTGATATTATCACCGATCAATGTGATGAAGACTTAGTCAACGAAGTGAACGTCACTGATGCTCCTAGATTTGAACTGCTCTTGCCAACCTCCACGGTGCACGTGTCGTAACGTAAGAAGAACTCCACCAGCATTACCCTACACAGCAGCACCACCAGATTCTTCGCCGGGCATTGCTTGTTATCTTTGGATGACTCCTCTGTCTCTCGTCCGTTTGACCAATAGACATACTTTAGCAGCTTCTCCCCTTCCCCGACAAACCTATGGCCCACAAATGCCTCAGGATTCTCAAACACCCAAGGATCTTTCGTAGCGAACGGCTGAAATCCGAAGATCATTTCTCCTTTCTTGACCTCAAATGCTGCGTCATGAGACTGGATCACCAGATCCTCCCTCGCCTTAGCGTACTGGTAGGGCACTGTAGGTTCGATCCTTAGTGCCTCGTACACTACCGACTTTGTCAGAGTCATCTTCTCCAGCGACGCAAATGTGATCCCGCCTTCCGCCTTCACGACGGTCCTGATCTCGTCGGCCAGCTCCTTGTGGAGACCGGCTCCGGCAGATCCAACCCACTTCATCAGTAAAGGGAACTGGCTCTTGAACCCACCGTAAGCGTTGAAGCCCGCCATAAAAATAAGGTTATGGCAAGCTTCGTCTCTCTTGAGCCCGAAACGCTCCGCTTCGTCCAGCGTCGCCGATGCAGCCGTGGAGAATACGTCGTAAAGCTTCTTGTAGTCTGACTTCACGATACACGCTGGAAACGGGAGTGTTCGGAGAAAGAAATCTTCGACGTAGTCGAATATTTTGGGAAGCCCTGCGGTGGCAAGGGGAGCGAGCTGCACACCCAACCATTTCTCGAAGAGTTTTGGACCATCCGACCCGAGCTCGGTATTCTTAGGGTCTGAGTTTGACCCGCAGAGGAGCCGGAACACGAAGTCGAAAGACATTTTGTCGCTGAAGGTGTTGAGGCTAACTTTGCCATTCTCGGAGACTTTGTCGTCTAGACCGGCGAAGAGCTCCGACGCACAGTCCCTAAAGAGCGGGATGAAGTTGTGGTGTTGGGAAGCGAGGAGGTGGAGGTAGAAGCTTTTGAAGAGAGCATGAGAGGGTTCGGAGGTGTCGAGAAAGGCGCAGACGCGGTAGCCGCCGGTGAACTCGGTGGAGGGCATGAAGGTGCCATCAAGAACGTTGCGTTTCTCGACCTTGGAGTTGTCGAAGAGAATCTGGAAGCTGATAGCGTCGAGGACGGCGATAACTCGGGGGTCGGAAGAAATGAAAGGGCCGGGAGGCATGTTCGTACGGAAAACCGTTGACTTGTACTTCTGGATTCTAGAGGAGAAGAACTTGTCACGACCTTGTCTGTAAAAATAATCGTGTCTGTCGCTAATGGCTCCGAAGAAGCGAAGGCCATAACTTCCAGGTATTGGTTTCAGGGGAAGCTTGGAAGAAGTGTCTGAGGGTGAAGAAGAAGCCATTGATGATGATTGTTGGGTGTTTTCTTTTTCTTGGTGATGGTACAGAGAGAAAGCAGAGCGTAAGGACGTGTGATCAGACTGAGGGTTGTGATCTTTATATCCTTGTGTACTCCTATTTCTATGCATCAAGGTTAATAATGGAGCTTTTGGCCAAAAAAAAAAAAGTTAATAATTGAGCTGGCTACTATTTTTTTTTATAAAAAAATTGAGTTAATTATTTATAATAAATAAATATTTTTCTGATCATATTTATAAAACAGAAAAAGAATGATTTTTTTTGTTCTATTTATAAGTCACCTTATTAAATTTTCAGTATGAATGTACTATTTTGTCTTTCATTTATTATAATGTAGGTATTTTTTTTTGAAAGGAGCATATGTTAAATATGGGTAAAATTAAAAAATTATTATATTTTAATAGAGAGTTAATGCATTTTAAGATTTTTTTTATACCGGTATGAAATATATTGAAAGTACATTATAAATAGAATGAGAAAAGTATTATCGTTTTTAAAATATTCTTTATAATAATATTATTATCTAGAACTACCATTTGATGCAATATTTAAAATGTGTAAATACTTTAAAAATTACTTTAAAAATAGTTAAATATAAGAGGTAAAATAAATTAGAGTCTTATATTTAAGATCAAATTAAAAATCAAATCAATATTTTATATTAAGGATAAAAAGTAACAGTAAAATAGTCGACCACGTGAAATATTAATTGTCTAATTGTTACAGATTAGCTGGAACATGCAAATTAAATGGGAGTGCGGACACCCTCATTTTAAGGCCTTTTTTTAAATTGTTTAACCAGAAGGTCAAGTGCTTGGTCAAAAAAAAAAAAAAACCAGAAGGTCAAGTGAACCGGGTTTTGAAACACCCGGGCATGTGTCAATATTTAAAGAGCTCTTATAAAAATATAATAAACATGTATAAATTATCTATCAATAAGATTTTTCATATCAGGATTTGAGCTTATTTACCCAATAAATTCTTATGACACGTGTTGCTTAAGCAGAGAGAGAAGTTTAAGCCAAGTTAAATGGAAGGGCTCTTCATCTTTTATTTTATGTTTGCTGAAACAAAAATTATTAAGATTTGAATTTGATGTCTCTGAATCAGACTTGAGGGGGATAAAATTACAAAATGCTTTCTTTGAAACCGCCCAGCTCAAATCCACGCACGCGCGTGCCCCCACGTTGTCATTTCCTGATTCGGCGTCAAATGATGAGGCGCGTGTGCGTGGGAGTTGATCCTCTCCACCGTCCTTCCTGTTCTCTTCCGTTTTTTTTTTCTTAGCAACCATCAGGCCAAAACCGCAATGATTAATATTTTATAAAAATAAATATTATTATAATTTTAGATTAAAAAATAGACCAAAAAATTTAAACCATTGAGATTTTAATCCCATGGTTGTGAAGGAAAAAAAAAAGACAGCGAGAAAGGAAAGAGAATGAGAGGAGTGGCAGAGAGATCCAAATCCGTGTGTTTTAAATGTTATCTTCAAGTTATTTCACAAACACGTTTTTCAGATGCAGAGTTGGTAACAGTGCCAAGTTTGGCCATTAATGAATTAATTAATGGAAAAGTTGAATAATGATGTGCTGACGTTCCTTCGTTGGAATCTCAATGATGGAACTTGAGGCAGAACAAGGATGAACCCAATAATTCATGTCAATTATATATAGATTTTCATCAGGTAAAAGAAAGTGTTTTTCATTGGCTTGGCAAATTATCGTCTACTTATAAAATAACATATGTCCAAAGCTTACAATGTACACTTTTGTAATTACCTCTTACGATTTGTTGTATATTTTAATCCATCATTTCTTTTTATATTTATTATTTTTCTTAAATTAATTTATTTAACTAAAAACTGACATACAGTATGACATTACAGAAAAATATTTTAGATAGATCAGGTTATATTTATTACAATTAATTAATTTACTTACCTTGTTTCATCTACCCAATTAATTCGTCAGACCCCCATGTTCCGATTGTGCTAAATGAATAGTAACTGGGGAATAATATGGAATACAGCGATAAATCACGTGGATTTAACCATACCTATAGTAGATTTAATTTTTTATGACATTCCAAAGATAATTAAGCATTACTTTATAAATTTAAATATAAAAAATATACAAACTAATGTATAATTTAAGAGTGTAACATTTAATTCTCCCTAATTAGATTAAATCTGCATGGGATTTTTGAAAGGCATTAGTTTTAACAGTTTTTTTTGGGTGAAAAGTTTTAATGGTTTGAATATCAGTCGCGTGATTTCTTTTTTTGGGGGCGTAGAGTTAATACAAAAAAGCTTTCCCTATCAAATCCCTTACGCTGTTTGGTACCAGAGACATGAAAAGAAGGAAAAAAAAATTTCAATAAGTTTGATTTAAAAAATTAAAGAAATAGGATTTTAAAATTTTAACAGAGAAAAATTATAAAATAAAAAATTAATAAAAATTAATTAAAGATTTTTAACCTTTTTTTTTTATTTTTTAAATCGAATTTATTTTGTTCCCCTCGCCTCTGTTTCATTTTTCTTGTGTCAAACGTACCCTTAAACTCGAAAGATAGATGCCACTTGGAAGAAAAGAATGAATAATAAGTTATGATGTACTGTATCTGGTTCTAATTATAAAATCGAGTTATTTAAAAGATTAAGAAAAAAAGTTAAATTAGTTATCTGTAATAAATAAGTATTGTTTTTTATAAAATATTCTTACTAATCAAATGTATTGGTTAGAACTATCATTATTATAAGGACTATTTTTTAAAAAAATATAAATATAAGAAACAAAATGAATTAGAATATTATATTTAACAATAAAATAAAAACAAATAATATCTTATATTAAAAATTAGGGGTAGTATATACCAATTAAATTTCCCTAAAAATGAAACGTTGATTTCTAGAAAAGCTGGCTAGCTAGGACGAGGGTTTTTACTGGCAGAGGCAAAATTCTACTGTAACACTGCCTTCGCGACACGGAGCCAATGGCTTGGATAAGCACAAGGAACTTTCATTTTAAGGAGCCCGCTAGTCATTTGATTTTTTATGCTATTGACATAAAAGGACAACATCACAAAATTGTGTTCTTTTTTTTTTTTTAGCTTTAAAATTAGTTTCTAAGACATTATTTTTCAAGTTATTTATTATGCATCTAGTTTCTTAATATTATTTATAATACATTCAGTTCCCTAAATCAAAATTAAAGTACTATATTTTTATGTAATAAAAAATTAATATCAGGGTGCTAAAGCACACCAACAAAATCACATTACAGTACTAAATACACATATTTAGAAAATAATATTAGGATATTAGATGTTATTTTATCCTCTTTTTTATTTTCTCTGCTTTATCAGCTCTGATGAATTTGTCATTGCAAACGCTACAATTTTGTTCATGATCTTAATTTTACCTTGTGAGATAGACGAGTTAAAAATATGGATATTTTGTAATTTATAACTTAGTTGTATAATAATTAAACAAATAATCTATGATAAACAGTGTATTATAGTGAAAGCTAAAAGATTACACCCTAATGACGCCATTTGGATAAAGATAAACAGTGCGACTTTCTGGCAATGGATACCCTTGGACAAGCAGCAACCATAGCCATACATATATAAATATATATATATATATATTTTTGCCTGACATAGCCATACATATATATATATAAATGTATATAAATATAAATATATTTATTTATCTGTGCGTGCACGCTTTGTATTTGTTGCTTTATGGAATTGTTTTCATATTTCATGTCAACAGATACCTGCCCGTATATGCCAACATCATCCATCACGCTTGGAGAAAATTTCTAACTCAAACTCAGCATTGACATGCGTGTATATACGAGCTGTGTCAAAAAAAGAAAATAATTGTAGTTTTATACCCTTCAAATTTGATGCCGGTGCATTAAATCTTAATTTTTCTTGTTTTTAATTTATCTGACTAACATATTTTTCGAAGAAAAAACCTGTTAAATTTCAAAATGACAAATAGATGATTTTAATAGATTTTGAGTAGTAAACCATTATAATTATAGTCAAAACCATTACAAAAATAATTAACATGACTTATTTATCTTTTTAAAATTCAATAAATATTTTTCTCTCATTTTGTCCTTTTCAGATGTTGATTCGCAATTACACTTGAAGATTAAAATTCTAGAACACCGATGATTAGATCACCTAATTGGGGTTGTTCTAACTTAACAACGGGTCTCGAATTCGAGGCGTGGGAATATAATATCTTAAGAGTCAAGGACACCAACTTTAATAGTTTTTGTCATGTTTCGATCCGGATTTGTTTGAATCCATTATTATGTCTAAAAGATGACTTAGCTCAAGATACCAGAGGCTTACAAAAAAAATTAAATTTCTGGCATGCACACGACCTGCTTTTGCCTCTTCGCCATTTATTGTTGGGAATTATTATAAGTTGATTAATGCCGTAGTAACGTTCATTGATCTAAATGATGGAGTGGGAATCTAAACAAGGATGAACCCAAAAAATCATGTCAGCTATAGATCCTCAGGGAAAAAACGTGGCTATGGAAAAAAAAAGTGTAATTATAGAATAGGTATATGTTCCAGGTTTATGATGTAGACTTTTATCATTAGTTTATCCCTTTATGTAAAGTAAAAATATTATAAGCCAATTGTTAAAAAAAAAATGTTATGAGCAAATCAACGTCCAAAGATTACATGATTTTTGTTGGATCCTCATGTTCCCCATCGTGCTAAATAAAAAATTGGGGAATGATATGGAGGAGACCGATAAATTACGTGGATTTAAAATTTTAATTTTAACTATAGATATAATAGATTTAATTTTTATTATTTCAAAGGTAATTAAGCATTACTTGCTGAAATTCAAATATTAAAAATATAACTAAGGTATAGTTTAAGAGTGCAACTTTGGCCTAAAAGAAAGTTTGAGAGTCAAAACATTGCTTGCCATGGAGGGAAAGTAATACTCTTTCGGTCTTTAATATAAAATCTAATTGTTGAGTTGATTTTGATCCCAAATATA